CTCTTCGTAATGGTGTGCATCTTGTAGTGATCGGCCACTCTGACTTCGAGAGCACCTCTTGTCAGTCAATTTAATCATACTTGAAAGTTTTTTCACAAGTATTTTTATCCGCTTAAAGTATCACCAAATCCTCCACTCACCCATCCTTCACCCGGCGCGCCTTCCTCCAGGTCCCATCTGGCCTCTGCGTTGCAGCAATGTAAGTCTCACCTAACTTATCATACTTGAAAAACAGTGATGGTAAGATACCGTTCTTAACCTTGAGTAGTCTTTATCCGTAAATCTCCTCCATCTTGCTTGTCATTTGAAGAGGACATTTATTCGCAGCCCCTCTGCCCTATTTAATCCTGATAAATTAAATTTCCAGGGTACAAGTAGTCAAATATAAAGTGCACATATGAGGCTTTTGGGACCAAATGTTTCTAATAAGGACTCTGATATATATAGAGTTTATTCATCTTGATTCTGTAGCTGAGAAGCATAATTCTCTACATTTATCGCTAACAGGAGATCTGATGAGGAAATTATCGTACGAAAAACATGTTAACATATATCACATCCATCAAAAAATAAAGAATGCAATAGAGGTTGTGAAGACTGGTGATGATTTCAGTTAACCCAAGGAAAGATTCTGATATTAACCGGTAATCGGGAAAATGCAGATAATGCGGAGAACAAGCGATCCTTCCTGAGTACGCTACTATGAACAACTAATTTGACTAATTCGATGATCTGATCTTCGGAATTTGTCACAAAAATACATTAAGAAATGACTGAGAAATACATAGAGTGAATTTTACAACATATTTCAAGCTGATGTTCAAATGTCAGAGATTTAGTCGTTTTCTATAGTAGAAAGCTGCACAAAAAAACTTCCTACCAGGATACCTGACAATAAGAACGACGAACTATTGTTTGGTGACAGAGATCGAGATACAATCACACAATATTTGGTAGCTGGGAGAGGAGAGGGATTGCTCCACTGAATCAGTAAGCTGTTGGAAGGACGAACGAAGGGGTTCAATCATTTCGCTGACAAGAGCTATTCGAACACTGGCCAGTATGAGTGAATGCATTATAGGCACGAGAACTACAAGTGATAGCATGAAAATGGAAAAGAACAGAATCAAGTGATCTGGGATAGCTCACAAAACCTACAGAGGATATACTATAATTGGAAGGGAAACATACTAATGGAAAAGAGACTAGACTTTTTCGGCCACTGCAGAATTTCTATTGTTTGTGTTGGCAACACGAGTCGCCTTGGGCATTCGGGCGCTATCCGGATGCCGACAGTTGGGACAGAACCATTTGCCCTTGGGCTTTGTTGTCAGACCAATACACTCGAAGTGGAACCATTCGATTTCGCACTTGTCGTTGTCACAACCGATCATCTCACCAAACGAGATCTGTAAGCAATTATTTCCATATGTTCTAGTTGAAGATGGCAAAAGGGAAAAATATGGTCAAACACGTGAATTCGTTGTCTTGCACATACTGAGAATTTCAGTATATACAACCAGATATGACTAACAAAAGCGATGCTAACTCAGACAACTGACCGGAACTTCCGCAGAACAATCGGCGCCGGGTCACCTGCGGAAGTTCCGAAAAATGCGAACCA